TGTAGTGTAGTAGTGTAGTGTAGTAGTGTAGTGTAGTAGTAGTGTAGTAGTGCGTGTGTGTGCGTGTGTGCGTGTGTGTGTGTGTGTGTATGTACATGTGCGATGAAAAGGAACAAATCAGTCAGAATCAAAGCACTACATAATCCATCATATTCATCTCTCACACATCCCCAGTACATACACAACACATGCAATCAAAACACACCGTCGTGTTGGTCGCATCATCGCTATTCCGATGAGTTCTTGATGAGTCCATGATAGCCGCTCTCGGTTATATATGATGGTTATAGAGACTATTGCTGTGATATCAACTAAACCTGATTCAAGCCTTTGTCCAGTTATGCGTATATAAGAATGTATCAAGGAATGGGTTTTTTAGAGGACTTTATCGAGGATTGAGTTTTTTATAAGCCTGTATCATGGATTGAGTTTTTGTGATAGGGGATAGTATGGGGATTCAGGTTGTTGTCCAGCAGTACAAACTGTGCTCTATATGTATGTATGCCTAAGATTACGATGTCAACAACCACCCTTCAATATAGTGAAGGTAACAGAGGCGACTCTTATCTGAATATCTATATCTATATATCAATAGTTATATATACATATATTTATGTATGTATATAATATCACCCATAGCAAGATATATGTATTTATCTATATATCTATATTTATACTCAACAATTCGTTATCACAAAATATCAACAGATCCACATATAGTTTTGGCGGGTGATTCTAGGGTTTTATTCGTTTGTGAGCGTGTTAGGGTTTTGCCACAGCGAGTACGATAAGTTTCAAACATGATATTTAAAGGAAGTTTGGTGTCTTTATATAATGCCCCGAGTCTATGTCTACAACAAGCATACCGTTCATGAACACGCTACATGCGAACGTATTACGCTCCATACCATAGTCGCCATTGTGTTGTAGTTTTTAGTAGTATATAAACCCATTCGTGAACGTTAGCCCAACATATACACAAGGCTTGACGATCGGTCACTCTGAGTTAGTATATGCGCCTGCGCGTGTCATGTCATGCAATCTACATACAGAGGTGCGTAAACACACTTGTATACTTTTTCAGTACATAGTTTTGGAACCCTGTATCTGTCTTCTATGTATAGGTAATAGGCACACATCTATATGCCTATAGTCGTACTTCCATACCTTTAAATACTCACTCTAGCAGCGCTACAAACAACCTGTATATACACATACATGCACCTATTTCCAAAATTACTTATGTCTTGTAGATATACACAATAAGAGCACGTCTGTATGCCTAGATGCCTGTTACCATGGAAACGTACGGAACTTACCAAGAGCTCTCTGTGGACAGTGTCACAGAAGCATTCAATGCACTCGAAGAGGGGGCAGCAGACCGCAATACTACATTCACATCTATTAGAGCTCAACTTATCCGATACCACCGGTTGTATGTGCAACGGGATGAAGAGGCGTATGTGAAGATATAATGATGTTTTTTAATGTATTATGTGATGTAGAAAGTTGTGTTGTTTATGTGGTTTGTGTTGTCTGATTTCGTACAATTTGGTATATATGTG